TCGAAATAGAGCACAATTACTAGTTCTCTGTTGTCCCTACTTCGTGTAACTTCATTGAAAAAGTCTATGTGACAGGTCACGCATGATCTCTTTTTGAGAAATCCGTGTTGTGATGGATTGATAAGTTCATGTTCTAGTAAGTTGTCTGACACTTGGTCTTTAACCACTTTCTCCATTATTCGGGATATTACCGGTGTTATATTGATAGGTCTATAGTTGCATACACTGGTTTTGGCCCCTGCTTTGTGCTTAGGTAATATGTATGTAGTTTTCCACACTTCAGGATAAGTTCCAGTTTCTAATGAGAGAGTAAATATTCTAAGTAACAAGACTACCATTTCCGTGCTACCATTTTTGTACATGACAGATGGTATGTCATCTGTTCCAGTACTACCATTAGACTTCAAAGTCTTAATCGCTGAGTCTATATTTTGTATATTAAAGTCTATTCCGCCTAATTTGTGGTTGCTTTTGCAAGTCATTTGGAAATTTCGGGTCGGGTGCACTCTGGCGTCATTGCAAAACCACTCATTGAGGAGTTCACTGATAACCTGGGGATCATTGTGTATTATACCCTTATGCTCCAAGCTGCTTACAGTATTGTCTTTACTACTTTTTAGACGTCTCTGCAATATCCTACAAAGTTCCTGAGTTTTGGAGTTACCCACAAGCGCTTTATTTTCTTCAAGTTGTGACCTCATTTTGTGTTTATCTTCGAGCCGTTTGAGAGTTTCATGTATTTGGTTTAACGCATTAAATTCCTTAAATACATGGTATTTCCTTTTCAATTTCTTTAGTTTTAGTCGCGTTTTGCGGTCTATAAATGGAGTTGGTGTCTTTAGAGCAGATTTTAGGGGCGCGATTATGTCTCTTGCTGAGTCAATTGTTTTGTAGAAAATATCGAGTGATACTTCTAAGTTATTGTTAATGAAGTATTCTTCCCAGTCAGAACTTCTCAGCAGATCTGATAGGAATTCCCAATCGGCATTCTTATAGTCCCTATACTGATAGTGCACCGGGGAATTTTTAGGTGTGTGTTTAGTTGTTAGTCGGAATGGTAGCGTGCAGTACAATATGTTGTGATCACTGTTATCAAGTTTATTTCCTACCTCTATCGAGATGGGCTCAATTTCATGACAAAGGATTAAGTCAAGAGTGTTTTCATTTCTTGTAGGGAGGCGTACGCACTGCTTCCATCCGCCTACGTCTATAGCTTGTAGTAGCTCGTCATGGATTCTAGGTCCTGTACAGGTATCCCAGTTTACTCCAGGTAGGTTGAAATCGCCACAAACTACTTTGTAGTCAAAGTCCAGCGTAGCTGCATGCTCTAGTATTTCTCCAATAGCTATATCAGTCATTTCAGGGCTATTAGGGGGTCTGTATATACATCCCATGAGAATTTTATTTTCGTTTGTGTGGATGCTTATCCACTTAGATTCAGGGAGTTTGTCAGTAGTTGGGTTATTGAAAGTATTGGAGTTAGTGGATTTAGAGGCATATATTAAGCAGCCGCCTCCTCTTTTGTCAACTCTATCGTTCCTATAGATGTCGTAGTTGTCTATTACTAGCTTTGAGTCAGGTATATCAGTAGTAAGCCAGGTTTCAGTCACCATTATTAGTGTTGGCCGTTCTATGTATGCCAGGCAGCGAAGCGATATTATTTTGTTAAGGAGAGATCTAGCATTCAGGAGCATAATCGTTAGTAAACCAGAGTTATTGGAGGAGAGGTTAACATGGTTACTTGTTTCTATCCCTACGTTATGTTTGGAGGGGCTCTGAGGTGAGACAGAGTCAGTGTGTGTACTATTTCCTGGATGAATTGTGCAGCGAGTGGGGCTATCGTTTGCTGCATCCGAAAATAATCCTGTTGCATGTTTTGACTTTTAGCATCCATGGGTGGGCATCTGCGTTCATTTACAGGTGATATATAGTTTGCTTGACCTAGGTACCCTGTGTTAAGATTACCTTGGTAGTTGTACCTCATGGGTCTTTCGTAGTCGTATGCATATTGGGTCACATCACATGTGTGAGTGAAGTTATTGTGAGGGTCATGTGTCGATCTATACTCATTATGTTGCTGAGGTTCAACATAGATAGTGTGAGAGTTTGGACAAGAATATGCATTAATATGGTGCCTATACGAGCCCCGTTTAGTGCTCCTTATATCCTGATGATCCGTTCTACGTTGCATTCCCAAGTTATGTGCGTTGCTAGGCATATTACTCCTAGTTCGGGAAGCGGTGTTTTCATTCACATGATGGATGACTTTTTTGGGAATATGGTTTTTTACCCATGCATTTTCTTTTTTTAGACTGACATGTTGCTTATTAGACTTATTGAGAGGGAGGTATGTCGAAGTCTGGAGTGGGACTCTAGGCTTTGTCGTCTTTCTTGCAGTTTCTACTGCGGGACTCTCGGGCTTGCATCCAGATTGAGTGTGGTCTGCCAGTGGTTTCTGGTCAGACATAGTTTGTGAGTCAATATCAACCTCATGTTTGTCAGCAGGTTTTCCAGATGTGCTCTCATGTACTTTAGGATTGCACCCAGTGACACTGCTCTTACTGAGTTTCGAGTCGCTTTTACTTGCCGATTTTTTTTCCAACACTATACAGGTGACTTGCTGTGCCTCAGTGTCCGTCGACACTTTAGCACTGATACCAGGTGTATTTCTCGGTGTGGTCAACTTTCTATCGAAGGAGTTCTTGGTTGCTTGCCTTTGGTTAGTTGTTTTATCCGAGACTACTTTAATAGTCTTGAATTTAGTGGCAGTAGCCAGAAAATCTTCGGCCTTCTTAAATCGTTCAGCTATTATGTAGCTGTCGAACCTAAAGAGTATAGGACAGGGATGCTTTAGGTCTTTCTTACTTAAGCGAATGCACTGACAAGGTGCACTCAAGAGATTTGCAGCCTTCAGCAATGAGTGCTGGACCGACTTAATGGGCTCGCTATCTGGTACATTATACACTATAGCGTTTTGTTTCGAAGCCAGCCTTTTAACAACTTCGCTGGATAGAAAGTCAATGGCGTTTTCTAGCTCCTTCGCATTTTCTGAGTCAGTAGGCGTCATTCTAGAGGTCATATTAAAAAGCTTTAGGATTGTAGGATCCTGCAGTTCCTTTTTCATAAGTGAGATTGTTTCGGGTATACATTCAAATGAACTTAATTTCGTTTTTAATTCATCAATCTGTAGCTGCATCTCTTTAATAATGCATGTTAAGTAAGAGAGCTCCACTTTTTCAGACAGAACATCTTCCACCTGTATTACAGGGGTCAGAGTTATGTTCGAGTCTTTTCTGTTGGGTGAACTACTAATAATAAGGGATGGTAATGTGTTATTAGACGAGCTGGTGCTATTTTCTAAATTACTGGTGTTCACACGAACACTCTTTTTAGAATTTCGGCCCATCGTTATTAAAGATTAATCAACAGTAAGCAATAAATGAATATAAACGAAAACACGTGCAAAAAGCGTCACCTGGTTCGAACGTACCGGGCAATGGATGTTTATTTAGATGCTCCATTTTTCAGCATGGTATCATTCAATGTAGACTTCACGTCTCAGGATATTAATTCAGCCTATTTTCGTGTGAAGAACAGTCCTTTTTGACAAAAGAATTCTATCGGTACTTGGAAGTCACCTGTAAATCCTAACAGAACCTTCTGTTGGAATAGAAGTAATCATGTAGACATGTCTTACCGTATGTGTGTTTGGACAGCAATTATCGTAAGTTGAGAGGTTATTTCTAAGTGTATTTCATGTATATTTGCACTGTTTGGCGTAGTGTAATATGAGTTATGTGGACTCAATGTGTACAAAATATCTCAACTTTATTAATATTGTTCCATTGTCTCCTTAGCTGACTGCTTGGCTAGCAAACGTAGGTTGTTGTCATAATTATTGCAAGTGCTGTGCCGTGGAGAAGGCAATCACTCGTTCAAATTTCCTTACTGTGCCACTTAGTGCATTAATTCAGTGTACAGTATTATTATACACATGGATTGTGTCGATTATGAGAACTGAATCTAGTCAGCTCTATTACTATCAATCTACTGTCTGTTATGTCATTCTCACTAGCGCTGTAAACTTAAGGCTGCAATGTCTTTGATCACCAATAGTGGTGATGAATATTTCCTGAATTTTCCATTAACATGAAGCAGCACAGATGCAGTCTCACGGCCGAATGTCTAGGTTGCATTATATGTCATTGTTATCCTCATCAGCAGAACAGGTCTGAGTATCTTACAATATTTCAAGTGTTTCTCTATGCTGCTAACACTGTGCATAGCTGTTTAGAGTTAAAGCATGTTCAGCTTATATTTGATGGCTACAGATTCCTTAATGTGAGTATGTAATTTTTGTAGTATTCCTAAAACTATGCTCATTAGACATTACTGAGATTATGGATCAATTTCTAAGTTACACATTTGCAATACTTCATTTAATGTAAATCTTTTTAGTGTGAAGTTGATCTGCAAGTAAGCTTAGGGCGAGGAGACGACCTAAAACCAAACGAATTTTTGTGCTATTTATGTATACAAACAATTACAGACATCAGATTGTGTTTGTTTTCTGTTGTAGAGATTTGGAAACAATTTCATTGACCTAATGATCTGAAGGTTCAAGGTGCAAATCTTGGTGTGGCAGTGGGTGAGCACTGTTGAAGAGCTCCAAACCAGGGTGAAACAAGGGTTCAATAAATACGCCCAAGTCTGTACATCAGGTACGCACATGATCCGGCGTTCGATTCCCGGAAACCGAATCACTCCTACACCTTCCTTGTCTAACTACAAGTAAACCCACCCGATAGAGTGTGGAAGGTTAAGTGGTTAAGTGTCAGGCTAGCAGCCTCAGACTGCACGCAGATGCTACTGAAACTAAAAAAGCCTTCGAAGGCTTGAAGTCCAATGACTCCAGAGACTACTCGGAAAGAGTGAAAACGAAAACAACCATAATTAATGCGACATTACATAACTATTTACAAAAAACAACTGCGAACAACTTACCTTTGTAAAGTGTTTAATAAATTCTCAGCTGCTTTATACGTCGCATCACCATCATCAATAAAATCATCGAATAGATGTGTAGTGTATGAACTATTTACAGGTAATCCAGATATACTACTAGTCAATTGAGTAGTATTATTACTAAAGTAATTAGGATTATTTGTTCCTTTTGAGTTTGTCGTTGTTGAACCAGCTAACAGGTCATCACTACTACCAACACCATTAGGAGTAGTGGCATTACTGGTGCCAAGACTGAAATTCACTCGCTCGGTATTCAAAGGATTATTGATTAAATAATTGCGTAGAACAGTAATCAATTCGACTAAACAATGCACTGCTGACTCATGCATCTATATACATATATTCATTCCATCAAAAGAAGATAAAACACAGCAAAGCAATGGATTAGGAATGGATAACAGATTATTAAATTTCATTATTATTTAAACGACATACAATAAAAGCGACGATTGAATGAGATTACACGTTAAACAGACTATTGAAGCATAGAACATAAATAGGAAGTAGAAAACAAGTTGATCACCAGTCCACGGATGACACACACTGCCTGCCTGGATTCAACACAGAACTTGGCACCGAAGTGCAGAAGTTCAAGTTGCCACGTTCCAAATAGCACACACGACGGTATGAGAGTGAAACAGAATGAGTAATGGTAGGAATATGAAAGATTACAGAGACTGAATACATCTGCGCCATTGACAACGATTTTGAGCCATGTCACCTATTGTCTCCAGTCATTGATTCTTAGAGTCCCGAGGGCCCCAACCCGGAAGTCTGCATCTCCCTACCTGACCCAGTTCAACTGTCAGGGATTTCATGGATTGATGCCATGTTTTTGTTTGGCCACCGCTTACTCTTTTCCAGCCTGTACCTATATCAGCTAGTAATGCCCGTCGGGGGAGGCGATTAACACCAGCTGTTGTCGAACCACAACGCCGGGCGTATTTGAGACTACGTAAGTTGCATTTATCAATCTTCTGTGACGAAGCAGCGAAACATAACTTTGACTTCAGCCGATATAGGTCAATGTACTACAGACGTCTCAAGAAATACAAACTGGAGTGGAAGAAGCATTTAGAAGGTAAGCTTGTTATTTCAAATTAATATACACAGAATTATATTCCAAATCTCGTGAAAGTGAACCGCAGCCAGAAATTACGCCAGGAATCATGGTTACTCCCCAACAACTTGTCCTTCCAGTTGATGTTCCTTTGGATACCATTGCATCTCCACCGTTATTGGAGGAACACTTAACGACTGAACAACTGCCTGCAACTGAGAAAGCTCACCGCAGCGAGAGCACAGCAGCTGATGCTATTCGCAACATTGTCTACCGATGCAAGCTGAATATGGCAAATACTAGTATTGTGCTTGAAGAATTTAAGTCCCTGCATCCTGAGTTGGCGACTGACCCACGGACATTGATGAGGACTGAAGACTTTTTTCAAAGGAGAGCAGTTGGTCCTGGGATGTATGTTCACATTGGCCTTCGTCGTCAGATTTTGTCTCGCTTAAAAAATTTCAAATCTGAAGTCTCAGTGCCAATTGTTCTGCAGCTGAACATTGATGGTGCTCAAATTTTCAACAACTGCAAATTGCAGATGTGGCCAATACAAGGGAAGTTACTTTTGTCTGGCTGAGACAAGGTATTCTTGGTAGGTGTCTACTGTGGTTCATGTAAACCTTCAAGTATACACACTTTTTTGAAGGACACTATAGTCGAATTAGAATGCATTTGTGCTAATGGTATCACATTACCCAACAGCCATCGCATTGACATTTTACTTAAGGGCGTCATCTGTGACACACCAGCGAGAGCACTAGTTAAGCAAATAAGCGGTCACAATTCAACACAAGGATGCGATAAATGTGAGGCTGTATGCCGTCGTGCAAATAATCGCATGGTTTATCCTACTACATGTGCCGCCTTAAGAACAGACACGTCTTTTCGCAGGCAAACGTTACGATGTCACCATAAGGGTAAATCTCCATTCGAGAAATTGCATGTCGACATGATCACTGTTTTTCCTCTAGACGGCATGCATCTCATATACTTAGGTGTAGTTCGAAAGTTGACTGGCCTGTGGAAATTGAAGGCCACAGCTAGGGAAGATGGTATGAATAATACTATTTTAAACACTGTTAACTCTAGACTGCTAAGCTCACATAAGTTGACTCCCTCTGAATTCCAGCGTAAGTGTCGAACATTAGAGGACGTCGAGCGTTGGAAAGCAACAGAGTGCCGACTGTTTCTTTTATATTTAGGAGTGGTATACCTGAAAGACGTATTGCCACCTTGCTTTTATCATAACTTCTTCGATTTATTCCTGGCATGCTACATTTTAAGTCACCCAACTTATTCTTCATATTACCTAGATGATGTAAAAAACTTATTGTTGAAATTCGTAGGTAACTTTCAGTCATTATTTGGGGAGGATAACATGGTGTACAATATCCATGGCTTACTTCATATTAGTGAGGATGTACGACAGCACGGACCACTAGACAATTTCTCATGCTTCCCATTTGAGTCTAACATACGTTTCCTGCAGACTCTCGTTGCAGGTCCCAATAACCCATCCGTCCAAATAGGTAGACGTCTAGGAGAAAGATACTTAGTGGAAGGGGACTCTGCCAAGTCAGAGATGACCAATAATGCATCTGTAAATGTGTCTAAACAGACTGCAACTTTTTCCACTTTTAAAGTAAGCTCATTTCCCTCCAACAATTCCTTTGTGGTAGGCGATATACCTGGAGTTGTTTCTGAAATTGTAAGCGAAAATCATTTTCGATTTCGAGCTTATAAGAAACCCCAGAGTTATTTTGAACACCCACTGGATTCTAGGGATATTGGAATATATCAGGTAGACAACTTGGGGGGTGAGACAAGTATTAGGACTTTCAGTGAAATTCGGGCGAAGTGCATTAGCTTAAGTCTTTTGCATAACTCCGTTTTAATTTCTATATTGCACACCTCTAAACTGTCCTGATTTACTTAGTACTGCAGTTTACAGTGAGCCACAGTTAACCCCTATCAAGGATACAAGCAAACAGTGAGTTTACTTTTTTATTCACTTGATTAAATTATAATACGCACACTTATATCAATATACGTCTTGCAAGACTTCCCTTCTCCCTATGTACCTATTTTCGTATGTAATAGTCGTACATTATTTGTAGATGACTAAGCAGTTCCTGTTAGTCAAGGTACCTGTCCTGAATGATGTATTGATTGTAAGCGAGGAGTGGGTGCTTGGAAAGGTCTTGATGCTCCCAAAGTCGTATTCGTGTGCAGATGTCAGGGGACATGCAGAGGTTGATGTAGGTTCCACGCCTTACAAGTTCAATCTTTTGGCACAATTCAGTAATGTCATGTTTTTAATAATGTTCCTTTTCAGATGATTTCGAGCAGGCAGTTAACTTGAAAACTTTTATTGAAGGTTCACAAACAAGAAATATGGACTCCTCATCTGAGGATACTGAGCCTGCAAGCCAAGGCAGGGTAAACCTGTAAGCTATGATTCCTGACTGATCTTCCCAGTGTTACCAAACCAACAAAAAAGTTTTGGAGAACGCTGCTCCCTTCAACTACCCATCTCGGTTGTTGGCTAACCCACAATTTCAGTTGGAGACACCTGCTTTCCGAAAGCCATCCACTGTGGTAAGAAATGAGAGGTATAATACAGTTTACTTTTTCATTACTTTTCATTTCAGTTTGTTGTGTGTCCCTTCAACTTCAACAGCCAACATTCCTGTCCCCATGGACATGTAAGTTCAATTTCATTTAAAAATATTACTTGCAGGTGCACGAAGAATGAGAAGTCATGTGCTTGCACATGTGGTTGTTTGGAAGAGCTAAGGGCTATACGGTCAATCCAATCCTCCTTCCAGTCACAAGTGGAGTCACGTTTCTCAGCACTTGAAGCTAAACTCTCGCAACTGAAAGTGGTCGACAGCATGGACAGCGATATCTCCTGTATCAGTGCTGTTCAGGCTTTGAAGAGTTGTGGCAGATGGCAGTTGGACAGCGACAGTGTCATGTCTGAGTTTGAGGCCAAACTGTCAGACGACGAATATCGTCTTGCTGTGTCATCGGAGCTAACGACTTTAGTAGACAGCAATGTGCAAACATCCGTTGGTCGCATAATGAATGTGTTGCTGGAGCCCAACTACAGCACACACTTTTCATGGGCTGGTACTAAAGAGAAAAAACAATTCAAGGATACGAGGACGTATACCCTTGTGATACGTAGGTGATTTTATTAAATTGTTGCTTCTCTAGGAACTGTTAATAGTTCACACCAAGTAGGTACCGCTGACCGACATAGCGCAGTGAAAGCTGTCATGACTGCCATTCAACGTTGGTTCCATAACAGTCGAGACAGACTGAAGACGAGGATAAGAAAGCGACGGTGTTCACCTTTGGTAGGTATTTATTTTTTGAAACTTCCATTTTCAGATGACCGTCGATACCAACAAAGGGAAAATCCCGGACGCAGAAAGCACACGAATGGATTTTTCGGCGGATTTATAAGATGTTTTACTTATTTGACTTGTCGAAAGATTGTAAATTCCTTGTAAAATGTTGTTAAATGTATTTCTAATTAAAATCCACTGTTTTCTTAAATCGTGAATCGTTGAGCTGCTGCGAACTTGCTGTTCATTGAAGCAACCTGTGTACGTAATAGAATTGACGTAGTGTTAGTTGTCGACTGCGGGTTAAATGCGGAACCGTAGGCGCGGTGCACCAGGCTGTAGTGTATAATAGTAACTTAGGGCGCATTGCAGAGTAATTGGGGCATACTCAGGGCGCATTGCAGACTTATTGGGGCAGACCTTGGGAGCATTGTAGACTTATTGGGGCAGACTTTGGGCGCATTGCAGACATTTTGGGGCAGACTTCGGGTGCATTGCAGACTTTTTGGGGCAGTCTTCGGGGCGAATACTCAAGAACGGCAATGCGCCCAAAGTTTTTTGCCCCGGAAAGTCTGCAGTGCCCCCGAAGAAAATGCTAGCTGGGTAGTATTAGATTTCAGATTTATTGGTTGAGGATAGAAAGCTTGGAGCCTATGTTAATCCTTTTCTAGTAAATTTCTGTGGTTGTCAAAACCCTTCTTGAACGAATCAACTGAGGTTGCAGACACCACTTCTTATGGGAGTCGGTTCCAAGAGTTTATGACTTGGTGTGAGAACCAGTACTCAACAGCAATATGATTTCTTCTTTGCTTTTGAACTCTCCTGCTATGTCTCCTAAGGTGTTCCGACCTGGTGGGAAGGAAAAGAGAGAATAGGTCAGGCCCGTAGTCATTATATAAAATTTTAAACATTG